ACTGGCCACAGCACCTCACTGGTCCTCTTGCTTCTGGACCCAGCCTAGCTGCCCCCCTCATCCCCACTATGTTTCCTCATCTGGAAGTGAGGCTGACAAAGTTACTCTGAAGATGGGAGAAAATGAAGCAGTCAGTGGGCTGGGTATGCCGCAGGAACTCAATACCGTTCTCTCTTGTCCCCTCCAGGCCCCGGGCTGGCGTTCCTGGCATACCCGGAGGCCGTGACCCAGCTGCCCATCTCTCCTCTCTGGGCCATCCTCTTCTTCTCCATGCTGCTGATGTTGGGCATTGACAGCCAGGTGAGGGCACCCCCCAGCACCCCAAGGACCCCACACACACACTCCAGCCTCCTCAGTCCAGGAGCAGGCAGGGAGAAGAGACCATTTGTAGGTTCATAGGCCCCCAACAGATGGCCAAGGATTTCAGACTCCTGGGCCAGCCAGTGGCGTGGTAATTAAGATAGATGGATTCCCACATGGCCGGCCGTGTTTCAAGCCCTGAAAATCACATTGAGCACGTGTGCATGCATGCCCAAAATCCCAAGAGGAGGCTGGAGAAGAAGGGATTGTGGCATGGCCATCCACAATGGCCACCCATTGCTCACTCCTCCTCCCCTCTCCAGGGAGTATGCACACTCCATAGCAAATTTAAAAAGAAAGAAAGAAAGCATTTCAGACCCCTCAACGGTTCCACTGCACAAAACTTCAGGAAACAATTCAGCCAACTTCCCCACTTCCCAAAAGAGGAAACTGAGGCCAAGAGGGAAGAGACTTGCCTGAGGTCGTCACAAAGCAAGTCTGAGGCAGCATCAGGCTGGATCCTGGGGTCCTCTCTTGGAGTCTTCCTGGCCCTGTTGTCCCAGCACTATCAGCCCCCATCTTCCCGTAAAGGGCCAGGCTGGGTGGGGGGCGGGTTAGGGCTGAGTCTGCAACAATGGCTGACCTCCGTCTCCGCCTGAAGTTCTGCACCGTGGAGGGCTTCATCACGGCCCTGGTGGACGAGTACCCCAGGCTCCTCCGCAACCGCAGGGAGCTCTTCATCGCTGCTGTCTGCATCGTGTCCTACCTGATTGGCCTCTCCAACATCACCCAGGTAGGCTTGGTCAAGACCTGGCACACCCCTGCGCTGCCCAGGGGCACTTTCCCCAGCCCTGTCCTTGCCTTTTCTCACCCTGTCTTTGAGTACCAAGGATGGGATGAGAGATTACTGGCCAATCCTTGGGCATAAACAATGTGCTGGATGGGATCCAGGAGTTCCCAGGTGGTGGGAGACACAGACATGAAGTAGAAAGTACAGGACAGAGCTGAGAAATGCAGCATCCAACCAGGCCTGGGGCACTTGGGACTACTTGCTGGAAGAAGGGATACGGTGCTGACTTTGGAAAGGCTCGCAGAAATTAGAGTTCACTGGGAGTAGGGCTTTCGATGTTGACGCTGCCCAGAGAGTCTTGTGATTGCTGCTTCTCTTTTTGTGTTGGTATTAATGTTGGAGAAATGCTCTCTATATTCAAGGCCTTCTGAGTCTAGTGAGAAGTTATACCTAAAACTGATGAATTGAGGGCCAGGAGTTCGCATAGTGGTTAAGGTACTGGACTCCCACATGGCCGACTGTGGTTCAATTCCTGTTCTCAGTGGCTTGAAACACTGGGCACATATGCATGCATACCCAAAATCCCTAGAGGAAAATGAAGGAAAAGGGATAGTGGTATAGTCATCTTCTCTGGGAGGTGATTTCTCGCTTTCTGTCTCTGTCTCTGTCTCTGTGGTGAGCATACGCACCCTATAGCAAAAATCTCTAGCAAATTAAAACAAGATTAATGAATCGTACAATAAATGTAAATGACTTTGAAGACATGGACTCAGTCCTGTGAGTCTGCATTATGATCCACAAAACTACCCTTGAGTCCAAATACAGTTCTGATCCAGAGTTCATGCGTTCCTAGTTGTCAAACACCTACGATGGCCTTGGTGTGACACTGGAAATTCAGTCATTAGCATGACAAATGCTACCGTGCCTGCTCCCTCCAAGCCTCCGTTTGGGTGGACAAGAGGGACATAGGGAGTAGATGGTTTCAGAGAGTGCTGTGAAAAGTGGGTATTGGGATAAGGTGACGCGGTGGTTAAGGTGCTGGACTCCCACATGGCTGACTGTGGTTCGAATCCCGGACCTGGCTGCTTGCTTTCTCACCCTCTTTCTCTCTCTCTCTCTCTCTCTCTCGTCAAATTAAAATAAATAAATTAAATAAATAAAAATAAAATAAAGTAATTAAATAAAGGACGTCCCTAACCAAGTGGCAGTTGACCTGAGACGTCAATGACGAGGGGAAGCCAGCCAGGAGACGAGCTGGGGAAGGAGGCACAGCAGGTGTAAAAGCCCTCAGGTAGGCACGGCGCTGGGGAAGGAGGCACAGCAGGTGTAAAAGCCCTCAGGTAGGCACGGCTCGGTGAGTGTGAGGGACAGAAGGAGGCCGGTGTGGTGGTGGCAGACGGAGTGGGGGTGCAGAACCTCGCAGGCCAAGGCTTTTGCATTTGCTTTTGCTTTGTTTGTTTTCCTTCTCCTGATGTGTGAGTTATGTTACTGCATTATTTATGCCATGGAAGGTGACGCAGGGGACAGACGTGAATGATGGCATCGTGGAAAGAAAGATGGCTCTGGAGACCGGCCCTCATCTTCCCTGTCACCTCCCCCCACAGGCAGCGCTTCTTCCGCCATCGGGACATGCTTCCCAGTCCCCGTGGAGGCAATGCCACCTCCCCTCCTGCTCACAAGAGTCGCAGTGCTCCCTCTGATCCGCCTGGAGCCGTGATATCACGGGGTGGCTTAATCCCGGCTCACCAGACACCAGAGCCCATGTCGACCAGGAGCCCTGGACACCGTGGGACGTGGGCCTGTCCTCACCTCCTTCTCTTCCTCTTGCAGGGTGGCATTTATGTCTTCAAACTTTTCGACTACTACTCGGCCAGCGGCATGAGCCTGCTGTTCCTCGTGTTCTTTGAATGTGTTTCTATCTCCTGGTTTTACGGTGAGCGCCAGCCCCGCCCTCACCCGCTCGTTCATGTCTTCGGTTGTCACTCCAAAGTTTCTACATCTTCACCGACTTTCTAGAAGGAACACAGATAAATTCATATAAAATGAGATCCCACATTTCTTCATAAACCTCGGGATGAAAAGATTTACTCGAGGCACTAGCAGGTGGTGGTAGTTAAGGCATTTGACTCCCACATGGCAACAGCAGTTCAAGTCCCGGACCTGGCAGCTTGTTTTCTCATTTTCTCACTCTCTCTCCTAATCACATGTGCCCTATAACAAATTTTTTAAAAAAATAAATTAATTAAATTAAATAAGTTATTCTAAAGACCAGCAGATGGAGTAATGGCTATATCGGCAGAGTTCCATGTAGTCGACCGTGGTTCGAGTCCTGGACCCGGTGGCTTAAACTCATGCCAGGCGTGTGTGCATGCATGCCCAAGATCCTGAGAGGAGAATGGAGGAGAAGGGATTGAGGCATAGCCATCCCCCTGAGGGGGTGATTTCTCGCTTTCTGTCTCTCTCTGTCTTTCTGGCAAGCACACATGCCCTATAGCAAAAAAAACTCTCAAAAAAATTTAAATAAGTAATTCTTTTTTTTTTTTGGAGAGGTTTTTTTTGCTATAGGCATGTGCACTCACCAGACAGACTGAGAGAGACACAGAGACAGAAAGCCAGAAATCACTCCCTGGGGGGATGGCCACGCCGCAATCCCTTCTCCTCCATTCTCCTCTTGGGATCTTGGGCACGCACGCACATGCGCCCGGCATGAATTCCAAGCCCCAGGTCCGGGACGCGAACTGCGGTCAACTATGTGGGAATCCAGCGACATAGCCATTACGCTAACTGCTGGTTCCCAGTAATTCTTTTTTAAAAATAAAAGAAAAGAAAAATAGTTAACAAGGACCTGTGGAACATTAGCCCAGGTTACAGATGAGGAAACTGAGGCTCAGAGAGGTTAAGGGACGCTCAGCATCATCGTGTGAGAAAGTGGTAGAACCGGGCTTTGAACCTGCAGTTTCAACAATTCATCCGTCCCTCCTGCTCTTACTCCAAATGTCACAGGCGTCAACCGATTCTACGACAATATCCAAGAAATGGTGGGCTCCAGGCCCTGCATCTGGTGGAAACTCTGCTGGTCCTTCTTCACCCCCATTATCGTGGCGGTAAGGATGAGGCTGGACCAGGTCCAGGGAGAAACTTCTGGAGGCAAAGGTGGTGGAAGAGACCCCAGAACCCTTGTTCCCTAATAATCCTTCTCCTTCCTGTTTGTTGAGCCTCTGGTCTGTGCCCTTCTCAGGACTAGACCCTTCTGTCATCCTCACAAACCTCAGCAAGAGGCATTATTGCCCCCCTTTACCCCTGAGGGGCTGGAGCTCACTGGCCAGTTGTCACCCGCCGGCCAGTGCTGGGACTCAGCCCAGCTCCGGCTGACCCTGAAGCCCAAGGCTTGGCCTGTGGAGGCCTCTTATTCTCAGAGTCCTGTGTTCCCTCCCACAGGGCTCACTGAGGGGGCCACCGGAGGGGCAAGGGGTGGGCACTGGGCCACCGTGTGTGTCCCACACAAGGATACCCAGCCAGCTGGTGGCAGACTGGGGGCTGACGTCCAGCCCTCCTCTGCACCCCAAGCTGGCTGGCCTGGAGGACGG